TTGACTGGTTTTACAAAGAAAACTACCTTCAAATTGCACTCAAAGTAGCAGAAATGTTCGATTTTTACCAAAGTTCAGAAGTACAGTAAACAAATCATGCCAAGCGTCCAATACACATCAACTGGTGAGTCTGATATTCTTTCACAAGTGCACGGATATTATTTATACCATTTCACACTAATACAGTAGTCTGCATAACAGTAAATCTTCTATTTTTTTGTGAGAATACAAATTCAAAGTGGAAAGAAAAAGAATGTAAGAGAAGCGTGGGGACATGATTAATGAACAGAGGAAATGTTATTTTAGTGCCAGGAATGTCTTTCTTATTTATTCTGAACCCTATTCTGAAATTGGCACCTTTTGAAATTTGTGTGAAATTGGCAAAATTGCTAAATTCTGACCACTGTATTGGATAGTTGAAATTGGTAAATGGGTGGTTTCTTGTACTCATTCGATAGAAAAAATATAATTATAGCGAAATAGTTATGATTTTTGTCGACAAGTACGTGGACCCCCGGTTAACGATTTTTATCCGTGCAAGAGGGCTCACGTTATGCGAAATAATCGTTATGCGAATGATTTTTCCCCATAAGAAATAATGGAAATAAAATTAATCCGTGCAAGACGCCCAAAAGTATGAAAAAAATTTTTTTTTTACCACATGAAATGTTAATTTTAATACACACAAACTGAAAAAGGCATGCACAATTAAATGACACTTACTTTTATGAAGATCTGGTGATGATTGATGGGATGGGAGGAGGGGAAAGCATTATCTTCTTACTGTTTAGAAGGGGAATCCCCTTCCATTAGGACTTGAGGTAGCAAGTCCTTTTCTGGGGTTACTTCCCTTCTTCTTTAATGCCACTAGGACCAGCTTGAGAGTCACTGGACCTCTGTCGCACAACAAATCTGTCCATAGAGCTCTGTACCTCCCGTTCCTTCAAGACTTTCCTAAAATGGGCCATAACATTGTCATTGAAATAGTCACCAGCACGGCTTGCAACAGCTGTGTCAGGGTGATTTCATCTATAAAGGTTTGCAGTTCAACCCACTGTGCACACATTTCCTTAATCTTTGAAGTAGGCACAATGGATTCCACAACTGGCATAGGCTTCTCAGGGTTAGCCCAAACCCTTCAAAATCTTTCTTAATTTCCATACTAATTCTCACCCTTTTTACCACAGGGTTGGCACTAGAAGCTTTCTTGGGGCCCATGGTCACTTATTTTCCAGAAACAGCACCGAAAACACTGTAATAATACGAAATATTCCGAGTGTATGCTTGGATGTTACCGCGGAGGCTGGCTGGTAAACAATGGGACGGCCGGCACATGTGAGGGCACATTGGACGCGTCTCGGACGAAAATCGGTAAGCGGGTTTTTAATCGGTATGCGCGGCAAAAATTTTGCGATAAAAGTAATCGGTATGGGGAAAAATCGCTATGTGATGCCATCGTTATGTGGGGGTCCACTGTACACTGGAATTGGCCGAAAATAGGGTTTAAAGTGGGCAAAATCTCCGATGCGTAAACATTGTCGAGACCGCTAACTTCACGAGAGCATAATTCCGTAAGTTTTCCATCAAATTTCATACTTTTGGTGTCATTATGATCGGGAAAAGGTTCTCTATCTTTTCATAAGACATTTTTTTTTTTTTAAATTTGGCCGTCCCTGAGAACAAGTCTCTGAGAGGGCATGCTGTGGTTTTACTGTGTCAAAAGCTTTCCTAAGGTTAATAAGAGTCCTAGTGGATATTCATTATAACAAAAAAAAGAAGGCACAATACCGTGACTGGAACGATGCACAAATAATCCGCACATAGAAGAGAGGAGCTTACGACGATGTTTCAGTCTGACTTGGACCATTTACAAAGTCAGGAGCTGCATAAAGGAAGTATAGCAGTTCTATAATTGCATCATTTGCGCTTTTATTTGGTCTGAAATCAAACTGGCAGAGGTTGAATATATTGAGTGATGCTAGGAAAGAGTATAATTTCATGTGAATTATTTTGTCAAAAATTTTAGATAACAATGGTAAGTTAGATGTTGGCCTTAAGTTATTTACGGCTGTTGGGTCTCTACCTTTGTGTATTGGGGTAACACTTGCTATCTTTAGTATTGTCAGAAAAGTGTTGGTTTCTAATGATTTGTTGAACAATATTTGTAAAGGTTCATGAAAACACATGAGCTTCTCTTTTAACAATAATGGTGGTACCTATGCTAAGTTTCCTGACATGTTTTTCAGTGAATTTATTATGAAAGTGACCTCATTAGGAAAAGTTGGAACCAGATAAACTTCCAGCAATGTAGTCACTCGAGTACTGGTACTTGGGATTTTGCTAGATAAACTTGATCCTATGGTAGAGAAGAAACCATTTAACTTATTGGCTGCTTTATCAGGCTGGAGATGTGGTTCATTGGGTCTGGTTAGGACAATATCTTGGGTTTTGGTCATTTTACGAGAACCCAGGATTTGAGTTTCTGTTCCAGATCTTCTTCATAACACCTCTTATTTCATTGAACCTGTTCAATTGTTTAGACTTCCTTATTAGTTTGGTAATTACTGTTGTATAGTTTTTTTGGTTTGTTTTATAGTTTTCAAGCCCAGTCTATATTTCTCATAAATGTTTTTATCAGTGGACCTGAGGATGATATGTTTTAGCCATGGGCTACCTAGTCTCTGCTGTGATCTGTTTAGTTTTATTAAGACAATGTTTATTGTAAAAGCTTCGTATTTTTTGCAGAAAAAATTTGACATATATGTCAATGCCTCCGTCATCGGTCAGTGTAACTTACTGCTGTAGTGAAGTTACATAATGATTCATATTAGATTAGCAAAAATTGTACACTGCAGTTAACTTATTAACCCTTTTACTGTCGGTCCCATAATATTATGACTTGCAATCCAGTGTCGGTTCCGTAATACTACACCAAATTCTAGTGGCTTCTAGTCTTGTGGGTGATAGCTGATAGACCTACATATAAAAGAATGGTCTGAGTGGTCAGTGTGTTGCAGTATAAAAAAAGTCCTGCAACACACAGTACATAATGAGAAAAAAAAAACTGCTGCCTTATTTTTGGTTTAAAACAGCGACTTTGCTGTGTATTTTTGTATGGTGTTTATGGTTGTATTCTCATTTTCTTGGTCTCATTTGATAGAATGGAAAATATATTACAGAAATAGAGATGATTTTGAATGGTTTACAGACGAAAAGTACCTTGAAATTGAGCTCAAAGTAGCGGAAATGTTCAATTTTTGGTGATGTTCAAGAGTAAACAAATCATGTTACACGTCCATACACTTCAACTGTGGGTCTGATATGCTTTCACAAATGCGCTGATATTATTTATGCCATTTTTACATACAGTAAATCTTCTATTTTTTGCATGAATAAAAATTCAAAATGGAAAACAAACATAATATAAGAGGGACCTGGAGATGTGACTAATAAACAGAGAAAATGTTATTTTAGTGCTAGGAATGTTTACATTGTTAATTCTGGACCCCATTTTGAAACTGACCTTCCTTGAATTTTGCGTGAAATTAGCTAAAATACCAAAATCTGATCACTTTATTGGGCAGTTGAAGTAGGTACGTGAGCAGTTTCTTGTGCTCAATCGATAGACCAAAAAAGGAGTTCTAGTGAAATAGCTCTGAGTTTGGCTGATTGGAACAATGGAATTGGCCGAAATAGGGCTCAAAGTGTGTGTGAAATTGCAATGTGTAAATATCGCTGAGACTGCTAACTTCGCGAGAGTGTAATTCTGTAAGTTTTCCATCAAATTTCGTACTTTTGGTTTCATTACCATTGGGAAAAGATTCTATCATTTCATGATTTTTTTTTTTAAATTCTTCAACACTGAAAGCAAGTTTGCGAGCAGGGGTCGCAACAGTGAAAGGGTTGTTAATAATAATAATAACTTTTATTTCAGCATGATACATGATTTGTTTTTTAGGGAATTAATAATTAAGGTGACTTTTGTGGGTTCAGTTGGAGCAAGATAGAAGGAAAGTAATTACTAGCTTGGGCATTAGTGCTTGGAATTTTGTTAAGGAGACTTGATCCTATGATAACGAAAAAATCTTTTAACTTATTAGCCGTTCCAGTAGGCTGGATCTGTGGTTCATTGGGTTTAGTTGGAACAGTATCTTTAGTTTTGGTCAGCTTTTGAATACCCAGGATCTGAGTGTGTTTTCCAGGTCTTGTTTTCATATTTCCTTCTCAATCCTTAAACTGTCCAAACGTAGATCTACGTTTGTGCGCGTAGCACTCCAACCTTGATTTTCTCCACAAAAAAGCTTGTAAAAAAAAAATGTAGATCTACGTTCAGAGAGCTATGCGAGCAAACGTAGATCTACATTTGGACAGTTTAAGGGTTGATATCTAACCCTTACTTGTTTTTTATCCTTAATTTTTTGTCCTAATTTGTTCACCACATGCTTGAAACTATTTCTTTGCCAATGAATGTGACAGTTCTCACTGTATAATAAAAAATAGACAATGCAGAATTGTGCATATTTCTTCAGACAGAGTATGTGTCATTCTCATTTAGTTTACTAGTCTAGGGAAACGTGTAAATTTGTTGAAAAAATTTGGGTGAATTGAGAAAATGTGAGCTTCAAAAATATAAGTTTAGTTAAAATAGTAAAATTCTTTTAATTAAGTAAAAATTAGTCATGAGGATTTTAAATATATCTTCAATAAATTAAATGCCTGGTAATGTGAAAATTTTGTAGTGTTAGATTATGTCATTTTCAAAAAGAAAATTTTCCCTACAAAATTTTTAACTTAAAGCATTTGGGGAAGACTTTTTCACATTTTATTTATAGTACAGTTACCCATAATCTATGTCTTAGTAGAGGTAATTTTATTACTAGAAAGATTAACTAAAATAGTTCTTTTTTTCTTTTTAGATTGTGAAATATTGTTAACACTTTGCACATATTTTTGGCACAAGGCTATGTAAATGATCAAATAGACAGTTAATGCTTGTTCATTCATATAAGAATTAACTTGTGGTTTATTATTTGACATGTAAAATCATAGTAACACAATTGTAAATAACTTACAGAATGGATGGGGTTCGAATCCATGACGAGCCAGTCCTAAAACTAACAGACCAGTGTGTTAACCACTGTACCATGCCGGACGAATAAGATTCATCCAGCTAGGGATATTTCACTACCCTAGGAAGGTTAGCATGGCCTGCACTCTGACCACATTGCAGGTTTTACGACTGGCTCACCGTGGGATCGAAACGTATCCGTTCTGTGAGTTGTGGCTTGTTATTTTCAAGAAACTGGGAATGGCATTGATTTATGTGTACTGTATATTGTAGGCTGAGTAGAGGATGTAGATCAGACATGCAGCCTGTGGTATGCTTCAGTCAAGCCTACATTGTGGTAATTGGTTCAGTGTCTCATGTAGCTATTACGTAAGAATATTAAACATCACAAATTTAATTTCTTGAAGTGTTAGTGAGAGACCACAGATATTCTCGTGTTTTCCTTTCATTTCTCTGGGCTACAAATTTAAGCTAATACTGCATGTTTAAACATTACATTTACCTCATCATGATTAGTAATAATTGTAAAAACTGAACTCAAAAGGGGATTCAGAGGTTCATAGTGATTAATTGTTGCTGAGTTATCACACAGACACTTGCCATTTTGAACATTGTGTTCTGTGTTTTAAGAGGAATGTTCCAATCATTTTAATTTTGTCTAATCATATATATTGAACAGTCCTTGATGAATCCATCCTTCAACAGAGGAAAGGAAGCCATGTCAAGACAATCCCTCCATATCGTCCCGTCCCATTGGAGGCTGGAGCTTCAGATGATGATAAGGAGTCCAGAGATCCTAAGCTAAAAAGACGAACTGGACGCCCACCGGGTGTAAAGCCATCTGGAAAACTCGGTGAAATCATTGTATCGGGAGGCAGTAATGCTAGTTCCAGTGGGGCGGTGGAGCAACACGACAGAGGACTTGTAGAAGAGGACAATACTGGTGTAACCCCTGGAAGTTCTGGCATATCTCTGGGAGGCAGTGCTAATTTATCAATAATCCCAAATAAAGCTGAAAGAGCAGCTAAAATATCAGAACCTAGTCTTGCTAATAGTGCTTCCTTGTCCATTGCTGTGACCAAGGTTACAGTTCCCATAACAGTCAGTGTATTTTCATCAAATTCATCTTCAATTGCTCCTCCACCTCCTACTTCGTCTCATTAACACCATCTTTTCCAACCTCATTATCATCAGTGTCAACATCATTTTCACTCTCGGCACCCTCTTCATCCACCTCTACAACGACTTTATCATCGTCATCATCAACAACAACATTATCAACCACTGTTTCCAGCTTGTCATCACCACTAATAGCATCTGTGCCATCTTCAATATTAGCTACAACCCCCTCTTTACCTCGTCCCAAATTAGAATCTCATCCTCATCCTCCAAACACTACACTCGAAAATCCCAACCAGATAATCTTGCCCCTCAACCAGTCACATAATCAGTTACACATGCCGTTACCTGCTGATGCTGACAAAGACAAACAGCAGGAACGAAACCGCAAGCTGCGACGAAATGGGCCACGAACTCCAAGTGGAAATAGTAACTTTGGTGACACAGAATCCAATGTTTCAAATGATGAGGCCCAGTCTAGTGATTTAGTATTGAATATATGTGAAGAAAAGAATCTTAGTGTTGAAAAAGAATCAAATAAAGTGCCAAGTAAACCTTTGGACTCCTCAGATGATGGTGCAAGCTTAAATGTGCAGTTTACACCAAATATGTCTACCTTAACTTCTAAACCTGTTTCTGATCCCTTCATACCAACTATGGCTGACTTTGCTACAAGTGAACCAGCTAAGAGAGGGAGGTAAGTTCTATTTTTTAGACAATGAAGCATTGTTTTTGTTAACCATTTAAACCTTTAAAATAATGGATCTTATATTTTGTCTTTTAAATTTAAATATCCCTTCCTAAATTCAACAATTTCCAGGAACATGGTCATGTGCTCTGCTTTTATGCAGTTTGAGGAAGAGACCTTGTATGTTAAATATTTTTCAGAATTTCTCTCGTTAAGCTGTGCTGCATAAATGTGATAGAATTACAAGGTCAGAATCCAAAATTTATATACAGTTTACTCTCGGTTAATGCAATAGTAACATTCCTGAAAACAGCATGTAGTCAAAACATTGTGTAAAATTAACTGAAGAATGTATGGGAAAAAGTATTCAGGGATCTCTCAACAAAAACCAACGTTTTTCTCTCTCAATTGTAAAATAGCAATAATGGTAATGTAATTGTAGGTTGATGTAGTGATGTGCTTGAGTCAAAGATCCTGCATCTACATTTCTACTAGCAGATGGAGGTGCCTTATTGTTTGGTTGTCCCACTTGTTGAAACTATTTGGGGGTTATAAAGGAGGGGGGTAGAAGCTGGAGGCTGGTGTTGGGAGGATTAGAATGCTGGACAGTGGAGGGGTGGTGGAGGCTAGAAACAAAAGGTAGTGTGGCGATGGTGTGGGCGAGTGTGCAATGAGTGGCTACATGACTAGGTGTGTGAACAGCATGTGGACTTTGAAAGCATTTCTTTTTTTTCTCTAACCTTTTCTCTCTTTTCTCTATCCTCTTTTTCTCTATCCTCTTTTTCTCTATCCTCTTTTTCTCTATCCTCTTTTTTCCTCTAATCCTCTTTTTCTCTATCCTCTTTTTTCTCTATCCTCTTTTCTCTATCTCTATCCTCTTTTCTCTATCCTCTTTTTCTCTATCCTCTTTTTTCTCTATCCTCATTTTTCTCTATCCTCTTTTTCTCTATCCTCTTTTTCTCTATCCTCTTTTTCTCTATCCTCTTTTTCTCTATCCTCTTTTTCTCTATCCTCTTTTTCTCTATCCTCTTTTTCTCTATCCTCTTTTTCTCTATCCTCTTTTTCTCTATCCTCTTTTTCTCTATCCTCTTTTTCTCTATCCTCTTTTTCTCTATCCTCTTTTTCTCTATCCTCTTTTTTCTCTATCCTCTTTTTCTCTATCCTCTTTTTCTCTATCCTCTTTTTCTCTATCCTCTTTTTCTCTATCCTCTTTTTCTCTATCCTCTTTTTCTCTATCCTCTTTTTCTCTATCCTCTTTTTCTCTTTCTCTATCCTCTTTTTCTCTATCCTCTTTTTCTCTATCCTCTTTTTTCTCTATCCTCTTTCTCTATCCTCTTTTTCTCTATCCTCTTTTTCTCTATCCTCTTTTTCTCTATCCTCTTTTTCTCTATCCTCTTTTTCTCTATCCTCTTTTTCTCTATCCTCTTTTTCTCTATCCTCTTTTTCTCTATCCTCTTTTCTCTATCCTCTCTGTGTGCTTGTTTTAACCCTTTCGCTATCCATCACTTAGATCTAAGTCATCGAGCTCAGAGTCCCTGACGTAGACCTACATGTAAATTCTAGTGGCTTCAAATTTAGTGTGAGAGGCCTGCTAGGGCTACATATGAAAGAGTAGGTTTGCATGGTCAGTATGGGCAGTAAATATAAAAATCAGGTCCCCAGTTGTGCCTTGTGGGACTGCCATATTTAGTACCTTCTGCTCACAGTGCCGTGCGGTCGGAAAAACCTCACTCCAAAGCGAATTGAACATCTTTTCCCAAGTGACAGTTTTAACATTGAGAAATATGGAAGTGGTGATGAGTTCTATGGTTTTGAACATTTATTGACCGAAAGTGACGCTCAGGATGCCAGAAATATTGCTGAAAACCCTAATGACTCACAACCATCCACTTCTCAGGCTGGTCAGTCTGAAACACGTCCATCTTTACAAAGCTGTAGGTGAAAGCTCGTATTTTCCCATGGCCTGGGCTTAAATGTGAGTAGTGGTGATGATAGTGATGTGGATTTTGATTTCCTAGCTATTGATGGCAACTCTAGTAGTGACAGTGGTGAGCAATATTCACAGGTGATGTGTCAATTTATTGGTGCCACATGTGATCTGGTAGTGTGCTATTTGCTATCCCGAGGGGACTGAGTATATCCTGGGACCCAGCACCAGCAGTAGATAATGATAATGACTATCAAGTTGCATCAATTGGGATGAATAATAGACTGCATGTGGCAGAAGGTGGTGACACAAGGGGTGCAGCAGCAGCACCAGTCCAGGCTGGGAGTCGCTGCCCACACTAAACACCACAACGACCCATGTCTGCCTCTACTGCCCGCACACATCCACTACCTGCATGACCACAACCAGCTGCTAATATCCAGTACCCATCATCAGACTACATCTGAGATTGTCAGGAACGTGCAAATTTTGTACACAATCCCCGTCAGTTTAATGACACTCAGAATCTTGCCTAATTGTACTTTCAGGAACAATACTAGTGAATTTCAATTATTTGAACTAGTTTTTGATCAAACCCTGATGGAAATTATTGTGAGGGAAACCAACAGATACTTCACGATGGCAAACATAATAGTTTCACCACAATCACAACTACATTAGTGGAAGGACACTTGTGTCTGAGATGTCTCTTCTTTGCCACAATAATACATTATTGTGGCTTAATGCATTATTGTGGCTTTCAGTGTTCTTATCCCAGCTAACAGACTTCTCATACTATTATGTATGCTACATTCTCTCAGACACCACAAGACCTGACAGAAACATGTTATACAAGATTAGGTATGTTTTTATGTATCAGAAACAGAAGTTCAGTACATATTTTTATTCCTTCGGGAAACCTTGGCTTTTGATAGGGGGGGATACTTTTAAAAGGTAGACGGGCTGTAAAAGCACGTAAAAAGGCGCCCAGGTTCAGTGCAGGAATTTGTACCGGTGGGGGGGCGGGCCTTTTTCATGCCAATGACTTTCTGAAAATTTTTACAAAAGAAATGAGATGACATGGTAGCATTGTTTTCATCTCAGGATAATGAAAGCCCAACGGAAGGGTGAAAGAAAACTCCCAAAACCCACCCTTTAAAATGAAAGCTGTTCTTGACTATGCTGTCAGGGGTTTTTGGGTTGGACAAATGGCCATCAGTTTGGATTTGCAAAAAACAAAGGGTTTTTACAAGATTATAAATGGTATGGGGAAATTTTTCCCTTTCCATCTCAGGGAAACCTTTAAAGGGGCAAAATTTGCACAAAAAGTAAAAATTGAGGACGGTTATTTTCTTTTTTTCCCCTGGTCTCATTTGATAGAAGGGAAAACATATTTTTAAAAAAAAAAAAGTAAAAGGTTGTGATTGGGTTTCCTTTGGGAAAATACTTGAAATGGACCCTCAAAATGGCAAAAAATTTCCCGTTTTTGGGGCCAAATTTCTTAAAGGGGGTTAAAAACCAAATGAGGCCCTTTAAAAAATAAATTTTCTATCAGCTTTCAATACCCAGTCACGAATGGGTTGACGGTTTTTTAAAACAATTATTACAATTTTGGGCCGTAGTCAAATTTTACAGAAATTTCTAGTTTCTTTTTGTGAATAAAAAATTCAAAATAAAAAGAAAAGAGAAAAATTTTAAAGGACGTGACTGATAAAAATAGAGAAAAATGTTATTTTAGGGGGCCAAAAATGTTTCATTTTTTCCCATTCTGGCCCCTTTTTTAAAAATTGACATTTTTTTAAATTTACATAAAATTTGGGCCCAAAAATTCCCAAATTTTTCGACCATGTTATTGGGTAGTTAAAAATCAGTAAAGGGACATTTTTATACCATTTCCAATAGAATAAATGGAGTTCAAAAGAAATACCCTATTTTTTTGGGGGAAACTGGAAAAATGGAATTTGGGCCCAAAAATGGGGCCCTCAAAGGGGGCAAAAATTGCCGATCGAAAATGTCCCCCCCGAGGGGGCTAATTTTGTGAGGGCAAAAATTTCCACAATTTTTCCCCCTTCCAGTTTTGGGTATTTTTGGGTGCCCATTATCCATCGGGGAAAAATTTTTCTCTATCATTTCATAAGAAAAAAAAATTTTTTTTTTCCCCACATATTTTGCGACACCAGGCACTTCCCGGATTTGGGGTTGCGACAGTCAAAGGGTTTAAACCCCTTCCAGAAGGTTGGGGCCCGAATCCCGAAAAAAGGCTGAAAACCGAACCAATATTTCCCTAAGAAATAACCCAAAATTCAATTAAAAAATCCTTTCAGGGCCCCAAAAAAAATGCCTTTTAAAGAAAAAATAACGAAGTTTTACATACAAAAATAATGAGAAATAAATAAAATGACTAATTTTAAAAGATAAATTAACATTACCCCTACCTTTTTTTGAAGATTCTTTGTTAGCTCCCTTTCCGGTTGGTTGCCCCCCCAAACTTTTTCCACATCCTGGGCCCCTTTTTCATCTAAACCCCTATCTACCGGGTTTCATACACTTTCGGGCCCACAGCCTTTTTATTACCATCGAATACCAAAGTTCCCGGAGTTAAAATTTGTTTCTAACAACACCTTTAAAATGGGCCCTCAAAAACAAAGGGGGAAAATAATGAATAATTTTATGCCTTTGTATTTTAAAGCAGTTACTGGGGGAAAGCAGATTCATAATCATCTTTTAATGCTGGACCAGAGAAAAAAGTAATGTTTTCCCTTCACCGGGGGGGGGGGGGGGGGATAAAAAACATTGCATGGGTTTTTAATGCTTTTGTTTAATTTTTTTCATACATAAAATTTTTAAGAAAATACATAAAATGGGGTTTAAAAGAAAAAAGTCAAAAAAATAACTTAAAAAAAAGACATTTAAGTGGGCCCAAGATGATTATTATTACTTACTGTTACTACATTAAATAGGCGGGTTTAAAACTTTGAGGGAAAACTGAGTAACAAAGGGCATGTTTAATGCATGTAACATTTTTTCCTTTCATAAATTTTTTAAGAAAAAATCATAGATTTAATTAAAGAAAAAAGTCTGTAAATTAAACCAAAAAAAAGACATTTAATAAAGGGCCCAAGAGGGAGTAAAAAATTAAATGAGTTCCCGGTGGGAGCGCTTTGGGGACCAAAAAAGTTTTCCCAGCGGTGTACGAAAACCCGGGGGGGAAAATTTTTCCAAAAAAAAAAAAAAGTGCTCAAAATTTCCAAAAT